TATCTAACCCCCCACCCCACCCCATGCCATAGCAGGAGCAATAGAATCAGACAAGCCACTTGGTCAGTTCTATAGTGGATCCCCAAGCCCACTGACAAAACCATGTCTTTAAGGCCTTGTGAAAAAACAACAAGATGTGGGCCAATTTTATCTCTGGAGGAATGATGTTCCAAAGGGAGGGAGCCAGTGCAGAGCAGACTTTTTTTCTAGGTCCGACCAGATGTCCTCCTTTGATAGTTGGGAGCCAAAACATATCTTTCTGCTCTGGTGGCTATGTAGATATAATTGGGGAGAGGCAGTCTGTCAAATAACTTGATCCTAAGATGTACAGGGCTTAAAAAAATGATAGCCAGCACCTTGAATTACATCCAGAAGTAAATCAGCAATTGGTGCAACTTCCACAAAAGAGGTAACACATGCAAATTTGGACCTGCCCAAAATCATATGGGCTACTGCATTTTGAGTCAACTGAAGCTTCCAGATGCTCTTCAAGGACAACCCCATTTAGAGGACATTACAATAGTTCAATGAGAGGGGACCAGGGTGTAGATGACTATGGGAAAGACCCTATGATGGCTCCCTTGGGCACCAGCTCAGATGACAAGGAAGAGCTGGTTCCGGCTGCATCTGACAGGATCTATGGGGAGCCATTGTTGTGCCTTGAACCCATTGACACCAAGTTGCTTTCATTGTGCTTTAAAACTGCTGGAGTCATGTTGCCTTTGTTGTGCCATGAATCCATTGAAACTACATTTGCACCCTGAACATCATTGAGGCTGTCATCCTGCTGATACTGTGTTTCCCAAAAAATATGACCCACCCTGAAAAGAAGCCCAATCGTATTTTTGAATCCATGTGCTAAAATTAAGCCCTATCCCCCTAATTAGCTTTAAATAAGACTCTGCCCACCCCAGGGTGCAGGGGGTGGGGCAAGACACACCAGTAAAAATTAAGCTAGGGTGGGGATAGAGAGGTGGAACTGCCCTACTTACCAGGCCTCGCACACCCCGACACCTGCCTCGCCTTGCAGGCCCACTTCTGTGGCCACTTGCCACCGCCATGGCATCACCCTCGGCCTCCATTTTGCCATCAGAGCCTTCTAGAAAGCCCCCTGCAGCTGAGAAACAAGCTTTGGATTGACACGCGAGGCACCCATTGGCTTCCATTTTGCCTTCAGGTGTCTTCCAGAAAGCTCTCTGTAACCAATAAAAGAGCTCTGGATCTGGCACGCAGCCGCAGAAGAAGTGGGCTGGCAGTGGGCTCCTCCTGTTGGTGCCGTCACAGTGAAGTGAGTTGTCATGCCCCTGGAGGAGACTGACTCTGAGGGAGAGGAGGAACAGCCAACAGGGAGTGGAAGGGTGGCTCCAGAGGTTGTGGAGGAGGCTGGGGAAGGGCAGAGTCCAGCTGAGCAGTCAGAGGAGGACCCAGGCCCATCCCCTATCCATCCTAGGGCACGTAGGGAGGAGAGGATAAGGGAAAGACGTGGTCTACTCAGGAGGAGAGGGCCTTGATCCTCTTCATGGGATGCAGGTGTGAGAACTGCATAAGGGTTTGGACCTGCATGCTAGCAAACGCTGGAAACAAAGAGTGTTTTATTCCTGGATGAGGTTTATCTTGGTTGGTGTTCTTTCAACGGACTATACTTGGTTATCTTCTTGAAGTTTGTAATTAATTATCCTGGTCTGTCATGGAACTTTCTTCAGTGTGGTTTGTTTTTGGTTTTTTTATTGCTTTGTTATCTGCTCTTTGAGTTTGGACTGTATTTCTTTTGTTTGGAATGTTATTTTGGAAAGAGTTTAATCTCCAACTGTGAACAATTGAACAGTGGAGCCAAGTTGAAGGCATTAAAGAACATTTATTTACGTTTTGGTTTTTGTTACATTTGTGGGACACTCCGGGTCATCACATGAGTCAATAATTAGACCCGCCCGAAAAGAAGCCCTAGCTGGTCATATTTTGGGGGAAACATAATATTGATTCTGTGCCTTAGGCTTGACTTGCCCCTATTGCCTTTGTTACATCCAAGTTGCTTGGAATAGATGTTAAAAGGCTGCACACATAGAGCTGGAACCTGGGGAATGAATGCAGGGTTGATTGTGTGAAACACAGTTACTCCATATGTGTGTGTGTGTGTGTGTACTGGAACAGGACAGACCCATTGGTTGAGGAATGGATGTAACTGGCATGCAACATGCAGTTGAGCAAACACCCTCCTGGCCATGACTGCCATGTTCTCCTTGAGCAGAAATGGCGACTCCAGGAGAACCCCCAGATTATATGCACCTGCTCTGTCTGAGATAGTGCAACCCCATCCATGACAAAAGATGTTAGTTTTCCAAAAACCAAAGAGCTCCAGACTCAAAACTACTATGTCTTGCAAAGATTCAATTTTTAACTATTGCTCCCCATCCAGACCTCAACAGCTTTCAGGCACCAAGAAAAAGTGATTATGGCATCATTTCACCCAACATGGGCAAGAATGGGCAACTGAGTATCATCATGATATCTGATCCCATATTGACAGATTATCTCACCCAGCAATTTCATGTAGATATTAAAACAGCAGTGGAGAAATCACTGACTTTTGAAGGACCCTGCAATGCAGTGGCCAAGAATTAGCATTCTCCCTCCTGATCAACATTGACTGGAAACAGCCTCAAAGAAAGGAGGTAAACCAGGACAATACTGTGCCTCTTATTTCCAGTCCCTGGCAGACACCCAACAACCAGACCTACATGTGTAGAGTTCAAGCTACTACTTTATTATGTTCTGCCTATAGAATCTCCCCAGTCTGGCAGCTCTCCCTTGGGAGCAATTAGATAAGGCTCCAAGGAATTTAGGTTGAGTTGGTCCTGGCCCTTTTACAGTCGTGCAGTTAGTAGCTGCACACTTGATCCCTCCTCACTACCAGGCTAAGTCTTCCCAACAGTCCCCAAACTTATTTCAAAAGAAGACTATAGTTGATGGTTTTGGAAATGTTTATGAGGTCAAATAGAAGCAAGGACGAATGCACTACTCCTGTCCTGCTCCTGCCAGAAATTATAAAATAGTGTGACCAATTTCATTTTCATCCCATATTCAGGCCTGAATCCTGACTGAAAGGGATCCAGATAATTCATTTCCTTGGGATCCTTTGAAGTTGCAACACAGTCACTTTCTCAATAACCTTCTTTAGGAAGGGAAGATTAGAAGCAGGGTGAAAATTGTTCATCAGTGTGAGATCTAGTGATAGTTTCTTAAGGGGGAGAACTACCATTTCTTAAAGAGCTAGGGTACCACCTCTCCTCCAGAAATGCATTAACCACTGCCAGTACCCAACCACACATCATTTCCTAGGGAGTTTTATCAGTCATGGGGGACACAGTCTAAAACACAGGTGGCCAAGTTCACATTCCAAGCATTCTGTCCACTTCCTGAGGTGCAACAGGGTCAAACTGTGCCAGGCACAAGCAAGTAGACCTACATGTGTAAGGAGAGGGCTTAGTTCTGGATCCCCTGCAATTGTGCAGGGACTCAAAGCTAAATCCACCCTTGAGGCCTCCCCTCTGACTGAGTGGGTGTTTCCCAACAAACTATTCCCAGATAAGACTCATGGTGGCACAATGGTTAAAATGCAATACTGCAGGATAACTCACTGCTCACTCCAGGAGTTCAATTCTCATTGGCTCAAGGTTGACTCAACCTTCCATCCCTCCGAAGTGGGTAAAATGAGGACCCTGATTGTTGGGGGCAATAGGCTGACTCTGTAAACTGCTTAGAGAAGTCTGTAAAGCACTATGAAGTGATATAGAAGTCTAAATGCTATGTTTAATGGGGCAAGCACCCACCTTGGGCATCTCCATCAGACCAATGTCCATGCCAACATCCAACTGGAAACAATTCAAGTGACTTCATCTGCCAGAAAATCAACAAATTCCTTAGCGCCCCTACAGGTGGACCTCCAGGTCTTCCTTCCCCAATACAAATCAGGTTATCCTGAAGAGGTCCACCAGGCGGTTATCTGCAGATGCAAATTTGTGTAAACTATTTTTGCATGAATTGCTATGAGGATGGCTTTAACAGTTCTTACCTGTGCTCAGTTGAATTCCTTCTTCGCCATCCTCCAGTGGTACTCTAGATGCCATTTGATCTGCTTCATTTCTCCCAGTTCTTCTGTCTATCACCTGCCCTGACAAGATCCACAGAGCGAGAGAGATCACTTAGGTGCAATCCTATCTAAAACCTCAGTTAGCCTCCTATTCCAGGCAGCGACTGGGCTTTCAGGATTATGCAGCAGATGATCAATTATAACCCCCAAGTCCCTCTGAAACCCCGTTTCACCATACACCACTGCTGCCATCTTCCATTCATCAATTATTACTGTAACTTGCTACTGAAGTACTTACTATTACGGTAGTAGTGGCTGCTTGATCAATGAAGACTGAACTCAGCATTGCCTCATCATATCAGATTGACAGTTCTTCCTTGCAACTTTTTAAAGCAGCATTCAGCTTCTATTTTGTCAGCTAATATTATTTGACAGTTTCCTTCCTTGCATGGATGGCAACTAATTTCAGACATAATAACAGACAACATGGAGGAATATTTAGTACGTTTTTATTAAATGTACAAGTTATTGATACAGACATAGATATAGCTTTTTATTCCCAGGAGAAAAAGTGTTTGTGCATGTGTACAGAGAGTGAATATGTTATAAGTTGGCATCTGTTAATGCAGATCTGGATTCCAACTTTTATGTGTGAAATTTATGTGTGAAATATATTCATTTTTAAAAAAATGTAGTTTGATGTCTAGTTGCAAATAACATTGTAGTTGTAACCTGGAGATATATGTTAATACAGTGCAATTAAAATGATTTAGTTAGCTCTTATATGTTCAAATAATACGACACCATAGTTGAGCCAGGAGGAAGGGCTATCTTGTAAAAAAAAAAAAATCTAGCTTCTGTTTTATTTTGCCTGGTGCTCTGACAGACCTCTGTTTTTCTCTTTTTTTTCCTTAGCAAAGCATCTTCAAGATGGAGATAGAAGACTGCAATGGGAGATCTTACATATCTGGTATGGAATGTTTTGCATTTCTCTGGTTAAAATTGATATTTTTAATATGATCTTTGGTCTTGATTTCTGTTTCTTATTAAAAAATACATTGCAGGACTTCTAGCTTTTTATCAGACTAAACTTCTACTTCCGGCACTTTTATACAAGAATATTCAAAATGACTGAAGGTTGAGGATCCTCATGACTTCTTTCCCAACGTAAGGTGGGAATTAATTCCTCCATTTGTTGCTCTCTTGAAGATCTGGGGATATAAATGTGGGAGAATTTTTTTTTTCTCCACCCTTTTTGCCTTTCATCTGTGGTGCTTGCTCCAACAAATGACTGATAATGCAGCTCAGGTACTATGAGTTGGTTCAGTTCAACAGCACAAATATCCTAAGGCAAGGGTCAACCTGGGTATATGAATAGATTTTGGATGGGAAAAGTATTACAACTTTTATTTTTTTTAACTTACAATTAAAATTTAGCTTGTCTTGTAGTTGATTTAATGGGTTAATATAGAAGTACATATATTATTCCATTACACACTTATTAGTTTTTAAAATATTTTGGTAATAATATTTTAGCATAATTGGGTTCCTTTGTAACAGTTTATGTTTATACATTTTATTTTATGTATTTAAATGCATCCTTCTGAGAAGGGGTCTTTGGGTTTCATCAGACTAAAGGAATCAATTGCACAAAAACTGTAACAGTCTCTAGCTTAGAAAATTATAATTTCTTTCTTGCCTTCCTTGTGGTGGTTTTGGTGTTCTCTGGGCTTGGTTATTTGCTTGCAGATGTTTTGTTACCCAACGAGATCACATCATCAGCGTGAGTGTGGAGTTTGCTGCTTGTTTATATATAGTACCTTGTCCTGCCAGATTTGGTGGGGTGTGATTTTCTCCTTGGTAGTTCCTTGATTAGAGAATCATTTTTTGCCAAAATTGGCAGGCAAGCTATTGTAAACAGGAGCAAATCCTAGTTGGGTAACAACATGTCTGCAAGGAAACAACCAAACTTAGGGAGTATCAATTAATTCCATAGCTGTTTCCTGAGCTGTAGATATTTTCTTCTGTTAGTTTCCCTTCCTTCGTATGCCCATGTTAAACTATGGTCAGTGCCCCAAGGCACAATTTGACTCAGGAGATTTCATTCCAGTCTCATCTTTTTCTTGGCTCTGTTGGTTTGAATCAGTGTGCCAAAATTGGAGGGGCAGGGGATGGGTGAGGTGGTCTGACTAGGCTACTACACGGTGATTGTGCCCTGAAGAGCAGATGTGGAAAAATACTGGAGTTTGTCCTCAACCCACTGTCAAAGTTGGCATATATTTTTGCTATGAAATATAGCAGACTTGCAACTTGGGCCACTAATTCAAAGCAATTAAATTAGTTGTTTGTCTGACAATCTCCTGTTCTAGAAATGATAGGTTCCTCTGTGTTTATTAGCTGAGAATAATCAATTCACTACAAATTTAAATTAAACATTTGTTCACCAGAATTACCTGGCTGATACAAACAGTTCTCAATGAACACAATCTATTTTCCAGACATACAATATTTTTCTGTGAATGTTTTATCAGTTTGGTCATTTTATTACTATGGGATGAATATGGGATTCCTGTGTGTGTGTGTGTGTGTGTGTGTGTGTGTAGGTACCTCTTTGCTCTCCTTTTTAAACCATCTGTCTTATTAAATCTCCTGAGATACTTTTTGATCCTATCCCTTAGCAGGTCCTAGATAGTCTATGAAGTGGCTAATTAATGGAGAAGGATGCCATTCCTACCTGGTATTCCCTTTGACTCTTCTTAGGTTAACAATAGCCCACTACTTAAAAATGTTTGGAAGGGTTTCCCCCCATCTATGGTATTGTATTGCAGTCCTTGGGAGATAAAGGGTTAAGGGGATTTAAGACCAGCAAAATACTGTGGACATAATATATTTAGATTTCAGCAAGGCATTCAACAAAGTAGACTACAACCTACTTCTTAGTAAGCTAGAAAAAAGTGGAATAGATAGCACCACCACTAGATGGACTCACAACTGGCTGACAAACTGTACTCAATGAGTAGTCCTTAATGGGTCTAAGTCTACATGGAGGGAAGTAAGCTGTGGGGTGCCACAGGGTTCCGTCTTAGGCCCAGTACTCTTCAATATCTTCATTAACGACTTAGATGAGGGAATAGAAGGGGAACTTACCAAATTTGCAGATGATACTAAGCTGGCAGGAATAGCTAGCACCCAAGAAGATAGGCTCAAGATCCAGAGGGATCTTGACAGACTAGAACACTGGGCCATAACTAACAAAATGAAATTCTGTACAGAGAGAAGTAAAGTCCTACACTTAGGCAAGAAAAACCAAAAGTGCATATATAGACTGGGTGAAACCAGGCTTAATAGCAGTAACTGTGAGAGGGATCTTGGAGCCTTAGTGAACAACCAGCTAAATATGAGCCAGCAGTGTGCAGCAACAGCTAAAAAAGCTAATGCAATCCTAAGTTGTATTAACAGAGGGATACAATCAAGATCAAGGGAGGTACTAATACCACTCTATAAAGCCTTAGTAAGACCGCACCTAGAGTACTGCATCCAGTTTTGTTCACCACATTACCAAAAAGATGTTGAGACTCTAGAAAGAGTACAGAGAAGAGCAACCAGGATGATTAGGGGACTGGAGACTAAAACATATGAAGAACGGTTACAGGAACTGGGCTTGGCTAGTCTAGTAAAGAGAAGGACCAGGGGAGACATGATAGCAGTCTTCCAATATTTGAGGGGCTGCCATAGAGAGAAAGGGGTCAAGCTATTTTCTAAAGCGCCTGTAGGCCAGACAAGGAATAATGGATGGAATCTGAACAAGGAGAGATTTAACCTGGAAATAAGGAGAAACTTTCTGACAGTGAGAACAATCAACCCATGGAACAGCTTGCCCTCGGAAGTTGTGGGAGCTTCATCACTTGAGACTTTCAATAAGAGATTGGACTGCCATTTGTCAGAAATGGTGTAGGGTCTCCTGCTTGGGTGTGGGGTTGGACAATATGATCTACAAGGTCCCTTCCAACTCTGATTATCTGTTATCTGTTAATTTAATTTAACATCTTCTATGCATGTAATTGTTTATTTTAGAGATGAAGGACTGGAAGTAAATTTATTTTACTGATGGAAAGGGTAGAAATAAACTTATTGGTATTATTATTAAAGTTGGGACAGGTGGAGCAAATAAATATAATAATTTTAAAAGCATATAACTATGCTAATACTTTAATTGTGCATGTTATTTTAATTTTAAATATATAAATGTATTTGGCCTGACAGAGTAAATAGCTCTGGTTTCATGAAACCTGTTTTGTGATTACAATAGTACCTAGATAGATTCTAAAACTTCCTAGAGTGCCCATTGGCTTAAAAGTATCAGCCTGGTTGTTTATTATCCCATTTCAGATCACAATCCTGAGATGTGAGTTGAGCTTAAAAAAAGTGACTGACCTAAAGTCTCCCAGGTGCCTTTCATACGTGAGTGAAGACTAGAATTCATGGCCTCCTGGTTTCCAGCCTGGCACCTTAGCCGCTGCACCAAACTAGCTCTCAGTTTCCGTAAAAGTTGATAGGATTCATATAAAAAGGGACCATAGAGAAGATAAAAAGTGTACTTCTTGGCCAAGCTATGAATAAGATAGACCAAAGGCTTTCCCTTCATATAGCATTTACAAAGGATTTAAATGGTGCCAGAAACACAAATGAATATATTAAACTCATTGATATAATTAAAAAACACACTTTGGTTGTTAGAGGTAAAGGATGGACAGATTGACTTTGGAAAAAGAATATATATTTTGAATGGATAGAAAAGCATCATAGAGTAATTTATGAACAAAAGAATCAGAATTATTTGCAGAAAAATGTTGATTTAAATAGCAAACAGATGGAATATGGGTCAAATACAAAAAATGAGCTGGCTGTTGATTTTTTTTAAAATCATGATGTAATAGATGTGTCCTGTTAGCAAGGATTTTGATTACTAGTGAAGTGTCTAATATAAAAAATACATTAGTTTAAAATCAAATCCACTAATTTATTGAAGAAAAATTCAGAAAGTAGAGAACGTTTTCATAGATAAAGTCTACTGCTGAAGTTACTGGGGGATTAATAGTTTGTAATAGCACAAAGAATTAAATTGATGTCATATAGTCTACAGTGCAAGTTGTTGATATAAAATAAGAATGAGTCCAATTATAGTAGGGAACTACTGTACTGCTGTGAATAGGCAATCTTTTGGAAGCTGTGTGGTAGTGAATGAGTGCTACCTTAATGAATTGCTGTCAAATGAAGTGTGTGCTTTGTGGTTAAAGACGCAGTAAATTGCTTACCTAGTTACCTGTCAAAAGGTATCAAGTTAGTATGATGAGAAATTAGTCATCTATAGGTCACAAATCATGGTAATTAGCAAGCTAATTGTGTGCAGAAGTAAACAATTAGATGTGGCTGTTTTATGAAATACTGGTTTCAGGCAGTCCTCAGATTAAGATCCGATTCTGTTCCTTGTTTTTAACCCAAATTTGTACCAAAGTTGGAACAGGTTATACCTGTTCTTTTACATATCAGAGATGAACAATAAGATGATTTTTTTGGGTAAAATTTAAACTTACAACTTTTTCATTTTACAAGACAACCACTGACATTTGCATCATTCTTTCAGAGATGTTTCCTTACCTAAATAGAAAAACAGAATGATCAGGCAAAAAAGCAGTGGGGGCAACTGCCAATTGCCATTTTCCCCATTGAAGTTGCTTGTAGGAAGCTGACAGGGAGCTTGGAAATCACTCCTCCATCTCTTCCTTGGCTGACCCATGGAACTACCTGACACTTTGCTGACCGGAGGGTGCATAAAGATAGCTGTGAACTGTGAGGAAAACTGCACCACACTCCCCATCCTGGCATGTGCCCAAGGGCCCCTCTCTTTAAACAGAAATTGGGGTCACCCATCAATAAACCCTGGACCAATGAACATTTGGGGCTCAATGTCAAAAATTTGGAAAATGCCTTAACTTGCCTCTACTGATGTGTCCAAATCCCCTCTGCAAGCAAAAGACGAAACAATTTTTTATGTCTCCCATCACCCAGTCTAGGGCCAACCTGAATAGCAGCACTTGAAAGTGGTAAGTCTGGGCCTGAAGTCGAGGCCCAGGCCTTGTCTTCAGCCTTAGAGTCACCACTGTCACTCAAAAAGGCCACCTCGCACTGTTCTCTTAAGGTCTAGCGCACACCTTGAGACAGTATTCTCTTTCTGTTGGGAGGCCTCTGCGTGTGAAAACACGGACATCTTTAGGTGACTTTTGGAGGCTATGGAGGCCATGTGAGAGCACACTCCATTCTCGTGCAGCCTCCGTAAGCATCCAAAAATCTCACAAGGATGGGATGTGCCTTTGAGAATATTTGCTATTGGGTGTTGGTGAATGTCAGACACTGGAGTGTCACTGAAAACCTTGTGACTTATCACCTTTGACATGTATGTTATAGGTTCACCATCAATGCCCTATACCTTCCAATTTTGCCCAACTGAAGGTTACAAACACAGAGATAGTAGAATGTTAGTTGTTTTAGTAGTATATTTAGATAGCTTAAAACTGAATTATGGGGGAGACAGGCTTCCAGCAAAAAAAAAAAAACCCTAATTCAAGAAGTACTGGCTGGAATTCACTCTCTCACCATCCTGAGGGCAGAGTAATCTGATTCAAAATGGGGGATGATGTGCTTCCTTGAGCGTACAGACCATGGAAGTTGCACAGTTTCATGAACCACTGAAAACAGACTGAATACAGCATTAAAAATGCAGGTGCTACTTTGTGACTCTCATGGAAGCATTAGTTCATAGCAGGAGAACACGGTTTGCCATTTTGAGTTAGACCACGTTGCCAGTCAGCAATCTGCCATTTTAGGTACTGCAATAAGTCAGCCATCCGTCATTTTGTAACAGGCAGCTCTGTTCATACCTAGAGTCAGGCATTCTTAACCTGGGAACTGCCTGTACTCAACATTTGGAAACGCCCATTTGAAAATATGGACTAACCATCTAAATTACTGCAGGGTAGATTTATAATATTCCACAAGAAAATAGATTTTGTGAGATCTGCTGGAGGTAGGTCATGGGGACAAAGTTCTAAAAGGCTGTAGGCTAACCAAGCTTTTACTCATTGATTGTTATAAGAAACTGGGAATATTTTACATCCTGCTCGTTTAATGTGATAGATGCTTGTTTGCTAGATGGGAATTAATAAACTAATGTGTTTATATAATATTGAATACTTTAAGAACTACTATTTGCTGTGGCTAAAAGCTTGTACACCCACTGATATTAATGAGTTAGTAAAGAAGTGATGTCTGCCTATTTGGCTTATAATTTGGTTAAACTCAATTACAAGTGCAGTCCAGTATGTTACAAATTATTTGGGGGACCTTTTCCATTGTGTTCTTCCTGTATTATTTTTGTTACACTACTCTTTCATGTGGATCAGTAAACAAAGCTATAATATGTGAGTAGGAAAAAACAAAGGAGAAAATTGTTTGAGGGATCTTTCCCATTCCAAGAAATGTAAATGTTTGTGGCCTTTCAACTGCACTTTTGCAAAACATGGAAAAGATTTTCAACCAAGTATTTCCACTAGCAAGAAAAACTGTCTGATGCTATCTCAAAAGGAGGTAAAAAAAAAAAACCCTCCCACTGCTATGGAAACATATATAAAATAAGTCTCTGCTTCCCCAAAAGGCAAGATCAAGATCTGATGGTAGCACAATGTATTCTCATAATGTTTGCGTTAGATAATTACAGAATTGCAACTATTTGCTGTTGTATAACATATACTATATTTCAATTGTTTAGTTTTTGTTATATATTTTTAATTATTTTAAGCACTTGTTACATTTTATAATGTATGTATTTTTGTGTTTTGTTCCTTTGTTTTTTCTTTTTCTCAATTTTAAAAGCAATACAATATTTTTACAAATGCTAGGAATATTTTAGAGATAATTCAAATCATGGCATCTATCCTGTCACCACTAACATTTGCAACATCATCCTGATTTTTAGCACTGGAAGCAGCATATCTGTTCTCCTATCTGTTTGCCTCTTTTCTGGGCCTTCCTTTTTTTTTTTAAGTTTATAAATTGCAGATTGTATATCCCTTCTCTTTCACATTCTTCCCATGACAAGTGTTGTGGGTGACTCATTGAAGAAAAATATTTCCAGCACAAAAATTTCTGGTGCTTCTTCCCCTTCTTATTCAAAGAACATTTAAATCCCCTATTAATAAATCCTGTATTAAACATTAGAGTAGACTTCTGCTTGTATTATAAGGATTACCCTTCCTTCTTTCCCATGTAGCTTTTCATGTGAGACATCACCAAACTTGCTCCAAGGGTCTTCTAAGCTTCCAATGGAAACAATGAAGGCTGGAGAGGATGGAAAATTCTAGCCCCAGTTAAGGGGTCTAGAAAAATCAGAGGATTGTGTAAAATTACTTTTTCTGTTTCAAATTCTCCTCACTGCTGATAATGAGAACTTAGAAAGTAAAGTCTTGTTCTGAAATAATTAAAGGTGAATTTTAAATTGATTAAAATTGGGTATTCTAACTGCTCGCTCTGATCCATTTTAAAAAGTGTCCCTGATTAATTGGTCGAAAGATCTTTAATGTTATTCCTAATAAAACATAGATAAAAATAAGGATAGTAGTTATCATCTCACAAGTGTTAAATGTCTCTTCTCTCTTGTATATGAATGAATTCCTTCAAAGAAAATGCTGGCTGTTGCATTTTTGCATAACTGAAAAATTTGAAACAATTCTTTTAAACTATTTTCATATGTAAACTGATTACATTTTCATAACATTCATATATCATTCTTTTTTTTGTTTTGGGGATTGGTCTTTTTAAAAAGATTGGGATAAAATTGTAATATATATTTCCAATTTTTTAAAAAAACAAAAAACTTTATTTCCAGAAAGTTGATAAATTCTCAGTAGAGGTAGCAAAAGGAAGCACATCTTTTTTGTATAGATTTCAGTAGAATAATGAATTTTTCTTAAGACACATCCAGTAAATTTAGGACTGCTTTCAAGGTTCTTTTTGAAGGCCGAAGATTAACATATCTATAGGTACTTCTGACCAGAAGAATAGAATAATGTATTTTCTTTATTTTTTTACTCCACCTATTTGATATTTCCCCTTTCAATTTATAACAGGGAATGTTCTAAGTATGTATTTATTCACTCATTCCCACTATGTACTGATAGTTTGGCTACTGCTTTGTTATGATAATGACACCAAAACACAGGGATGTGTTTAAGCCTCACTGGATTAGGTCTGAAGCAACTGCCAGTAGGTTTTTCCTCAAATGAAACACTGAGAGACCTTATTTCAGTTTATAGTATGCTAAGAACTCTTAGCTTTTAAAAGTGACACTATCTTTCCTCTACCGTATTCATGACAGTGATGGCAAGCAGATAACTGCTTTTCTTTTGTTGTGGTTGTTGTGGTTACCCTCAGTTAGTCTGGTCAAAAAAAAAAAAAAATCCCTAAGGAATGCTACCCAGAAGCTGATTTAAGAGACAGGACATAAAGCGTGGCGGGAAGGAACCTTAGTCTCAGCCCAAGGGGACAGAGATTGCAGCCGTATAGATTCCTGCTTTCACAGTGCTGCTTGACTGTAAAATGACGGCCGTTTCTCTCACTTCCAGGAATCTCTTCTTCCTGGAAGGTGAGTGGCTGAGTTCACCCTACTGCCGAGATGCAGCCACACACACTCACAGCCTGTATTCCACTGCTGTTTCCAAGGAGTTGGCTGTGATAACACTCCAGGGTATCTTCAGCAAGCTAGAATAATGTAAGTTAAATGGGGAGGGTGTCTGTCTGGAATAACTCCATGCTGCTTCTGTTTTTATTTACACTTGGCACCATGGGGAGTGTTGGTAGAGGGTGTTTTTGATGCCATGCAAAACAGTGGAGGAAGCCAATCACTTTAAGCAGAGAGAAATTGATCTGTAGAATTCCTGATGTCTGTGCAACGAGAACAGTGACAGCTTGGAAATGCATCTGCAGGCTTTTGGATATGGATGAACAAGGAACAACAAAAAGAGCAAGATACGCCAATTTCTGTTTATCAAAGGAACTGCTAAGCCTCAGTTAAAGATTCTCATTTTTCTCTCCTCCCTTTCCCTCCCCTCCCCTCCCTCAATCCTGTGGAGAGTTTGGACATGATTCACAGTATATATTATGGCATGATGCAGAAAAAAAAACTTGGTTCAAGTTACTTGATGGTATTAGGGAGAACAATTTCAAATTCCTGATAGTTTATCCTGGCTATTTTGCATAATATCACTAACTTCTAATTCAAAACATTATTAGGAATATGCCACTATTTCTGGGCATGCACATAAGTGGAACTGTCCCTCACATCTTTCTGTTTAACCCTCCGAGGAATCAAGGTGTTTAGACAGTGATTGAAAGATGATCATCTGAGTACAAAAGTCTGAATTCTAGGGAGAAGGGAGGCAAAATGTTTAAAAATTCATAAATACTTAGTTGTACTTTATATGAATCATGGGTTCACCTAGCTGATATGCTTCCAGAAAATCCTGGAACAGGTTAAATAATGTGAGTATTAAGAATACAGAAGCAGAAATGATTACCTGTTTCTCTGTTTAAAGGTTTCACCACTCCAGATTTGAGCTGGTGTTCAAAATATTCAATCGTTTCCAGGAAATGAGCACACTTAAGGGGTACTGGAATGTGCAAAACTTGTTGAGGAGTTTGGTCTTGTTGGAGTGCAATTTCTGGGTTAAGTTGATGGATTCTGCTTTTCCCAGATGCATAGTAAGCACCAGCAGGGAGGTTGTCCACATTGTTATCTATATATACATTTGTATTATCATCCTCAATAGTATGTTTAGAAGCCACCAGAATATATATAAGGCTTAAAGAAAGCATATTATTAATAGACAAGCGACACGTTTGGTATTAAGGTGCCTGCTGGTAATGAAGGAATATTGTCTCACTTTATTGTGAATTTTAAAAAAGTTAATCTAGACCCTTGTATGGAAGCTAGATTTGCAGTTGCAAGTGTCTGTCTCTTGCTTAACTACAATCTGAATTCACATACTATGTAAAATAATGCACACTGGGTAACTTTGGGTCTGTCTCAACCTAACCTCCCTCATATAGTAGTTATAGAGAAAATGAGAAGAGGGAGCTGTGTGTGCTGCCTTCAGCACCCCAACCAGAAGCAAAATCTAATTTTAAGAGATAACTAAATACAAGAGTTCAAAATAATAACCACAACAACAGCATTCATACTAGCATGCTGGTAAAGTACATTTTGGCTTAATGTGAGGTATAATCCCAATCTGTGCTAGACCATTTCAGGCAGATTAAACATTTTGCCATCAACAAACATTACAGTGTATATAGCATTAGAAGTCAAAAGAGTTAATGCTAGTGTAGTTACGCTAGTATATTAGTTCTTCAGATGTAGTTGTTTGAGTTAGAAGAACATTTATTCGATGCCTAACCTGCAGTTTGAAATACTGTATAATTATGACACAGTTTAGTCATTTTAATAAAAATGAAGTGTATATTTTTACACCAGAGTCTACGTTTATAGTTTTGTCTAAATGCTGTCTGCTTTGCTTTCCCACATCTTACGCAAGAAGCTTTTTCTGTTGTAATCATCTTGATTTCTCCTTCTTTGCTTATCAATTCTGATGCAATGACTCTAGTTTTTCCTAGATGTCAGTTTTCTGATTATTGTAACTTAAACCATAGCTTGATCCTAATTATTAGTAAACTGGATTTAGTAACAATTAAATATAAAATTGCTGCCTAGATTAGAATTCCATTAAGACACAATTTGGAAACTCTGGTTTAAACAAACCACGACAATGTCTAAATCACAGCATTTTGTGTCCTTTTTCAAATTGCCTTTAAATTAGACATATCTAATTTTTGCAACTTTGTTTTATACAAGATGATTTTAGCATCGTATTGCATTTTAGTCATTTAAATTTAATATTATCAGCCTGTGTCACCTCATTCCTCTTCCAATATATTGTTGGCTTCTCAGAGAAGTCGGCATTTATACATTCTTAATCACATGCAGTTAAGGAAAAATATGGTCAGGAATAATTTTTACCTCGCAAAATGCTTTGAAAGTTCAAGATGACATGGTATATGGTAGTGATTTCTAAAATCTCCAGAACACTCTTGTTGAGTGAATTCCATTACTGCAATAATGCCAAATCTTTTAGATTAGGGAATTTTGGCAGCTAAAACTTAGTGCTTCAAACTGATAAGCTCCAAAATTCCATGAGTGCTGGAAGCTTGGCCAAATTTGGGCTGGCTTATAAAATGAATGTAGGAGCAGGTTGGATAAAAAGTAATTTGAATGTGTCTCCTTTGTTCTTATGAATCTCTGTTCTTTAAAATCTCTTAACTGTTTTGATTGAGAAGTATAATTGTAGCAATGCCTGAAATTTACAGAGGCAATTAATAATGCATGTCTAATTATCCTAAAGATCATTCCTAAACTGAAATGTTATTATAGAGACTAAATTGGTAACGGTTGGATACCATCTCACAAAAACGGAGAAAGAAAAAGCCTCATGTTGTGCAAGCATTTATAAATACATATTGAGACAGATAAGCACCCACCCGCCACAAAATGTGAGTGCAGTGGAAGAATACTTAGCATATTTAAGGCATTTTAAGAAGGACATTAGGATAATTTTTTAATAAAAATTGAGATTTTAAAAAAATGATATGCAAGTAATCCTTGACTTACAGCAATACGTTTAGTGACCATTCAAAGCTACAATGGCACTGAAAATTGTCTTATAAGCCATTCTCACACTTACAATCACTGCAGCATCTTCACAGTCATGTGATCAAATTTTGGGCACCTTGCAACTAGCATGTATTTACAACAGTTGCAGCATCCTGGGTCATATGAGCACCATTTGCAATCTTCCCAACCAGTTTCCAACAAGAAAAGTCGGTAGGGGAAGCCAGATTCATTTAATGACCATATGATTTACTTAAAAACTGCAGTTATTCACTTAACCATGGCAAAAAGGTCGTAAAATGAGAGTGAAGTTTTTAAGAACTACCTTGCTTAACAACAGAAATTCTGGTCTCAGTAAATCAAGGGCTTTTTAGAATATCAAAACTCAGAAGTAGGATTATAGGAAGAGAATACCTAAAACAATTAGAGCATTAGCTGTGTACTTCACATACTCATGAGTGTGTGTGAGCGAAAAAATACATGGTCTATATAAAAATTTTTGTGACTAATACAAAATGATATTTTACTGGCAGTAAATTACAAGCAGGAACTGTTAGGCAAGTATTAAGAGGGTGTGTGTTTATTGTATGTTTTTTTCTTTTTAAATGCAAGCAATTTTACATAATATAATGAAGGTGTGTAACTGAAGAAACTAAAGATTCATTAAGTAAATACAGTATCTCTACTGAGGATTTTTCTTTTTATGGTATTCAGTTAAACAAAAAAATGACAGCAAGTCAGAAGTATACTAATAAAGAAATGAAATCACCCTTCTAATTCATTATGATACTGCTTTCGACTGTTGATACATGTACAATGTCATTTTTCCAGATTTCCATTATGAGGAGAATATTGGCATGAGAATGAGAAGATATAAATCCACACATTAAAAAAATAAAGAGATTTGATGTAGGTGCACTTTGAGATAAATTAACCTGGCATCATAGATTAAGTTCTCTAAAAAGCCAAATTGTCTAATGTTTTGAACATACTGAGCACCTAGCAATATATAATTGCATGAATATGAATACACAAAATCTTGTTTATATATTTGAAAGTTCATATCAAAACTGAAGGGTCTCTGGCTAATCATTGGTATGATATATAGATTTTTAAAGGAATCCCAACTGCTGCTGTATATATACAGTAGATTACAAGCATTTAACAGTCTAGAAGAACCATATTATTTTGACAATGCACATTCAACAGCCCCCAGGATTCTGAACATGTTTATGAATTATCAGTCTGATAAACATGAGCATTATAGTCTTCATGTAATTTATATGGCTTTACCAATATCTGGTATCTCCTAAACATTGATCAGTTGCAGATCAGCAATGAGTGATGATCCTCTAATCATCCAAATTATATTGTATGACAATACAGTATATGTTGTTTTGATTCTGATAAGCTTGGGTTTTGCTTCCACTAGCAGCAACAGTAGGTAATTTTACTGTTGCAGGTTGCAAAGGCTATATCCTCTTCAGTTACATAAGGAAAGCCATCTTGGTAATGGAGGGAATATATTTATTTCTTGAAATGAATTTCCCATATTTATCTCTGCTCCTTTCTTCTTCTTTCCTTGCTAAAGGTAGTGGAGATTCCTCTTTGGAAAAGGAGTTTACCTCCACAATTGTGGGGCCCACAGTGAGCACACCAAACAGCCAACACTCCTCCCCAAGCAGGTCCCTTAGTGGTGAGTACACCATTTTCTGATTCCACTAGGATATTCCTGAAATGTATCATCTGATTATGATCAGAGCAGAGAGTTTTGTTTATCTAAGGCAATAATTGTTTTCCGTTTAATGTTATCTGAAAAGCCCTAGATACTGGCCATCAATTTTAAAATGTACCTGACATTTATTTTGCATGAGACCCTGGTTTAAAACAACAACAACAACAACAACAACCAGCAGTAGGAGAGTGGGGCTCTCTGGAATTTTCTGCAGAAAAAATAGTGGTTTTATAACATTTTTGGTTTGAAAACTTGAATCATTCCACAAATTTTGTTCTTCTGGTCAATCACCAGTAATTCCTATAGAAGTGGAGGTAAAGTTGGATTTGGAGAGTTAGATTTATATAGCGTGCATTAGATTCAACCTTTATACCACTAGCAAACATATTTTCCTGCTAAAATTGCATTTGACATTTGTGAAAATGGCCAAACCTTGGTTGCACATGCCTACAGATGCTTCTCTTAGACAGAATGTACATTAAATATATAGAAAATCCTCCTTTCTTATGTCAAATCTTAATTTAGTTGTAAACAGTGTAGTTTAACCTTTCTTAAATTCATGGTCTTGAATTTCATAATTGAAAAGTTCTAATATTATGAGATAAAGGGAGAAAAGCATTATTTCTCCATAGTATGCATTATATTAAAATTTGTTTTTTAATCCAGTCTTAAATGCCAAAGTTCCTTTAGTAATTTTTAATTTTTGCTCAATATCAAGGTTTCATCATCCAGCTTAGGGTGTTTTTTAAATGCTTACTCTTTGCAAGTATTTAATACTATATTTTAATAAAGAAATGTTTCGGTTCTTTCTTTCTTTTTTTTTACCCCCACAGCAAATTCTATCAAGGTGGAAATGTACAGTGATGAAGAATCTAGCCGGCTGCTGTCACACGATGACCGGCTCATTGAAAAAGAGGACAGCGTGATTGTAGAGGATTCCCTCTCTGAGCCCCTTGGTTACTGTGATGGGTCAGGACAGGATCCGCATTCCCCTGGCGGCATACGGCTACCCAATGGCAAACTGAAATGTGATATCTGTGGAATGGTGTGCATTGGCCCAAATGTACTGATGGTGCACAAACGCAGTCACACTGGTGAGCAGACTTCTAGGAAGTATGAGCTTATGCTTGTTCTCTGCATAGTCCTTTAAGGTTAAATAATCTGAGACCCTGCTAGTCCTACTCAGGCCTTTTAAGGTGCTTCTGTATTGAGTTACGAGGGACTGAAGTAACTCAATAACTACACTTGTAGTTATGGAACTGTGGCCCTTTCCTCTGACAAATCTAAGACTTGTTGGTGAGTTCATTATTAAAATAGGATTTGACCTGAGAAATCTGCTGGTTCATATTCTTTGCCTATGAATGATGCTAGTTGTTAATATAGGTTATGAACAGTTTGTATCCTTCATTATAGTTTCATATGGCCTTTGAGTTAATTTTAAACCACTGTTGTGATTTACATTTATCCTAAGTATAGAAATCCTTTAGAATTACCTATAATCCTACACTATTATGACCAACAGTGAAGTCACAGCTTCATTTAAGTCCTGGTAATAGAAAAAAGAATTGGATTAAAAAAACAACCAAAACACTGTACTGTGTCATAGCTTTATTGAAAACCTTCAGCCAATATTATTCATGGAAAAAGTATGGGAAATCCAAGAAAATCAGGTCTCTTAATAGAGTTCAGCTGAGTCAGATGTTCCAGTCAGATGATGATCAGATATGAGTTGAAGGACTCTTCCCTTCAAATAACATACCTGTGTTTGTTACTACCATCAGAAGTATATTTTTGGACCATAAGAAAAGAATTGTCAATACTCATGAATCTTGTAAGGGCTACAACACTAGTGCCAAGGTTTTTGCTCTCCAGGAATCTAGAGTTGGGCAGTTATAAATAAATAAAATGCAACACATTTGTTATTATTCTTTAGAGCAGTCATCCAACAAAAACAGCTTAAGACCAAGGTGCATTGTAAAGAATCCTAATGTAATGGCAAAGGATCTTCAGGCCACTCTTGCTGTTGATAGTGTTCACAAATCTACCATTAAAAAACAACACTGCTCCCCCAAAAGCACGCTGTTGCTCATGTAAGATCACTTGAATGATCCAGCAGGCCACTGGCTTAATGTTCTGCTTAGTGGAATCTTCTAACATTAATGAAAGACATTATGTTTGGAGAAAACTAAGTGTTGGATTGTCACAAAAAGAACATCTCAACCGTGAAGCATAGTAACGCAAATAGCATCATCTTACAACCTCATGGGCTAGAGGCTCATAAACAATCCTTTAATAATGGATGTTGGCATACCAGCAAATTTTATAGGTGATTGTCAGCATACCAGCATGAGTCCAAATGGACCTGGGTCATGCAGTACAACAGCAGTCCTAATCATGTAAATTAATCTACAATAGAATGGCTGAAACAGAAGAAATGTTATGTTTTCAAATGGCCAAGCCAAAACCCCAAGTGTAACCTAATTGAAAGGTGGCAAGACCTAGAGTGGGCAGTTCATACAGGGGTAGACCAAAAATTTCAAACATTTGAAGTCAAACTGAGCCAAAGTACCTCCAAGACAATGTTTGGATCAGCAACATTGAATCAGTTTAGAAAGAGTAAATGTATTCAAGTCAGTTACAGTAGTCCTCGACTTACAACCATCTATTTAGTAACCATTCAAAGTTATAATGGCACTGAAAAAAATGACTTACAACTGTTTTTTAGACTTATGACTGTTGCACCATCCCCATAATCACATGATCAAAATTTAGATACTTGGCAACTGGCATGTATTTGTAAGAATTGTGGTGTCCCAGGATCCTGTGAACACTTTTTGTGACTGTCTGATGAGCAAAGTTAATGAGGAAGCCAGATTGATTTAACAACCATGTTACTAATTTAACAGCTGCAGAGATTCACTTAAGATCTCTGTGGCATGAGATCACCCAGCAAAAATAGTTAAGACATAGGTGGAAAAAGGCATTAATAATAAAAGATAACACATGAAGAGAGGACATTCAGTAATTGCTGGTATTGTGAAAGATAGCATAAGTCAAAAAGGTAATAATATAATGATATTCTGTACATAAACAACTGTTAATGGTGTAATGTAACTTCAGAGGAAGAGGTTACAACTTGAAAATTTATGTCTTTGACAATTCTAAAACATTTGACCAAATCATTAAAAATCCTTTTCTTTGCCATTTGTCAAAAAAAGGGGAGAATAAAATATTGGGAAACACATGCGATTGCTACAAATCTTATAGAGATTTATTCTAGGCTTGTTCACCCTGCATGCTTAGAAAGTCCACTTGATAGATTCTAAATGTTGAGATAGGTGAGCAAAATATTAATTTTGATGCTCAACAAAATAAAAAATCAAACCTTATTTTAACATTAAAGAACCAATCTTTCACAACTTTTTACGCATTTTCCCCAGCTTATAAGATTTTCACTCATTATTTCAAAGGTGTATAAATGATATCAATTTCATCAAATTATTACAGCTTCTTAAAAAATGGATTACTGATTTAAGAGTCTCAGTTGATTGATTGCTCCAAAGCATTTTACAGATGTGGAACCAGAAGCAGCAATAATATAAGGACTAAATAGTCCAAACAACAAATGCTTGAGTTGAATGTACTGCCAAAAAATGTCCTGAGGTAAATCTTTCTAGGTTCTAAGCTCTGCAAATGTTTATATCAAAGAACAGATTTGATTCAGAGGGACAATATGATGAGAGGCTCTGTTTTTGTCTCCAAAAGGAATTCACTGTCTATTTTGTAATAGAGTTATTCCAATATACAAGCTTTATAATATAATATAAAATAGGTTGACACAATGATGAAAGAAGTCTTTGGTACGTTTTTTTTTTCTTGCCAGCAGTACAAAAGTGTTCTTCATTGCCCTCTTTTGAGACTTCTTTTTTAAAATTTCTAATCTAACCTACAGTCCTGAAATTCCTGATACTGCAGCTTCTTATTCAAAAATTAATCAGGCCTGATCATGCTGAGCTGCTGAACCTAGGCTAGGACTAAAAGGATGATATGTATGTATGTATGTATGTATGTATATATGTATGTATGTATGTATGTATGTATAAGCTTCAGCAATACCAAGGAGCCAGACAAGCTTCTGACCTGCTTATGATATCCCTCCTTCTAGGTGAAAGACCATTCCATTGCAATCAGTGTGGTGCCTCCTTCACCCAGAAGGGCAACCTCCTGCGCCACATCAAGCTGCATTCAGGCGAGAAGCCCTTCAAATGTCCTTTCTGCAACTATGCTTGTCGGCGAAGAGATGCACTCACCGGTCACCTCCGCACACACTCAGGTAAATACCCAATATTTCTCTCAGAATGGGAAAACTCACTGCGGTCAACTTGCTGTGGCCAATTTGCTATGGCCAACTCGCCATGGGACAACTCACTGCAAGACAATTTAACAATTCAATTTAATTATTTAAAATAAATAAAAGCATTATTTTAACATCACATTCACATTTCATTTTGTCTCTCTTTTTACATCCTTTCTTTAACTATTCTATCATTTCTGTAATGTTAATGTAACTCTTGTCCCATGGTGAGTGTCCCGTGGCAAGTTGGCCATGGTGAATTGGCCGTGGCAAGTTGGCTGCGGCAAATTGTTATAGACCCCATTTCTCTTGGGCCATGGTTTGTAGGGTATCATGCTAGACTGGGAGACTGATTTTTTGCTCTGCTGCCAGTGCCTAACCACTGCCAATGTTACTTGATATTAAAGTTAAAGAAAGTCTTATTGCCCTCTGCTAGTCTTCTTTTCTGCTCTAATGTTGGCTCTGTGCCTCCAGTGCTTCCTTTTGATTTTGACACTTCCACACTCACAGATGCTATTTACAAACATATCTATAATACTTTCTTCCAAGAACTCATTGTGATGTAAATAGGCTCTCAAATCCAGTAGTGGCTATGCTCAGTCTTACTTAACATACAAGGTATGAGTACATTAACCAAATCTTACTTTTAAGGAAAGTCTCTAAATTGAACCAGGAAATCTTTCTGCTAATGATATCACTTTAGATAAAACAGCGAAAATTTCTGCTGTGCCATAATAACTGACAAATTGATGATGACGTGATGAAGTTTTTCTACATCACAGTCCACTTCATGAAATACATACCATAAAATTACTGAGATCCACAGAAGCTCATAATAGTAATTAATTGCTAGCCCTTGATGTCCTACATTTTTGTTTTTTAACAGCAACAAATTTACATGGCTACTTCTCTGGAAACCTATTAAAAATGGCTGTCATAATCCCATGATTAGTTGAAGTTATATTTCTTTGTCCAATAGATAAATGTGAGATATTGTCTTTGAATAAAATAAAAAATTGTATTGGTAGTTGACATGGGAATGAGCGGAAGGCTTCACAAAGATCTTCTCAAATATGTCATTTTATGTTGTTTTTAGTATAATAACAGCTAGGTTATTTGTTGTAAAAAGCAAAGTCTGTTCATCTATCAAGTTGTTATTTCTTTTCCTTGGTTTCTGTATATGGATTGTGTTGGGGCTTTTAAGCTTCATAAGTGTTTTTATGTATCTGTGATACTTGTCACTTCATTTCAAGGGTCAGATTGGAGAAATGATTGTTAGATTTGTCATTATTATGACAGTTTCTTTAGTTCCCCAGATCCATCTAATGATTTCTTATCTAGACAAATTATCTGTTGTAAGACAGAAAGCATTTGAGCTGCACAGACTTGTTCTTTGTGGAAGAATAATGTCTCTGTTGTAGAGGACCTTGCAGAATTGGTCCAATAAAAAATAACTGAACTTTGTCCTATTCACAGAACCAACATCTTGAGTGCTTTTCTCTGTTATATTAGAATTTTATAGACTAAAATTAGGTATGTTCCAGTCTCTATTGTATTATCTTAATATGAGTAAGCTACTTGACACTTTCCAGAAATATTTAATTATATCTCTTGATAATTGTCCGTATTTGCTGTTGCTGCAGGAGATCAAAGATCCTGAAAGGCGTTATTAGGTTGCCTACCCTTTGGCGATCATGCTTTGTAGTTTTATATGAATAATATTAATGGGACACATTATATTGCTCCTATGCCCTTTCTTAATATTTTAGTAAAATTCACAGTATCCGGTTTCATTTGGAACTTTAGTTGTTCTTGTTTTCTTATCATTGTGAAATGACCTAGTTTCAATAAATTTAAAGGTATGAGAATTTTTCATGAATGGCTAATATGATTCACAGTTAAAAACAGTAACATTTCTGATCTGGGATAGGAATACAGTCATCCACCTTATTGTTAAAGCTAATCTATAATTGTTTAAAATTTAGACCTGGTTATGTTGGAGGGGTATTTATCTGTCACAAGTAACTTGTCTCTTAAAAGTGAATAAAGGTGGGTAAACTTTACTTGGCATATTATTTAAGTCAGTGTCCCATCCTCAGAACAAGTCTTGCTCGCCTACTGAAGGGACTAGCTGGGATTGGAGGATTACATTAAATCGCCTGTAATTTACAAGTTATTTACAAGCAAATTAATGTAGCAGAGTTGTATCTTTTAACATGGTTGGGAGCATAATTCCTGTACTACAATTCCTGCACAGCAAAACTTGTGGTTTTGCTGTCAGCTTCTCCATTGATTCTGTTTGTCAGAAGCCAACTGTAAAGCTCACAAATGGGAATCATATGACCCTGGCACACTATGCAATCGTAAATGCCTACCATTTACAAACACCTGAATCTCAATCATGGGACCATAGAGATAATGTGTGAAGTCTGGTCATAAAGTTATTTCTAAGCACCTTTGTAATTTTGAATGGTTACTAAACAGGAGAGAATGTATTGTATATTTTTTATATTCTGTAAGCCGCCATGGGCAGCAATATAAATTCAATAAATAAATAAATAATAAGGTAATTACAATTAGACCCTGCTTAAACACTCATTCAGTGACTGTTCAAATTTAGTGTTGCTAAACAAGTGATACTTACAATCAGTGTTCATAGTTGCAGCCATCACTGTCTCTGTGGTTGTGTGATTACAATCCAAGTGCTCTGTGACCAGCTCAGAATTACAATATTGCAGCGTCCTGCATTTTCAGTCTTCACTGCCGGCTTCCAGAAAGCAAAGTCAATGAGGAAGCTGGCAGGATGTTGCAAGTGATGACCATGTGATTTATAGAAGTCATTTAACAATGGCCACCAGAAGTGCTGGAACTGCTATTGCTAAGTGGCACAGTCACATGACCTTGGGCTTTATAACCACATTGCTTTAGTGACAGAAATTCCAGTTCCACTTATTGTTGTTAACCAAGGACTGCCTGTAAACTGAAAGTTGGCATATGGCAACTCTAAAGAGACCATAGAAATATTTTACATTTCTCAGGTAAACTATCTGAATAAATTGATACACCAACCCCAGTAAATACTTTTTGCAGTGTCAGAGGAGGAGGAATTATATTTCTAATCTTTCTTTTTCCTTCTAGAGTTATTTCCAAAGGAGACTTCCTGGGTCTTATTTAACTCTACTGAAAAAGAAAAGAAACTAGCTAACCATCTAATCTAGTTGATGACCAACTATGGGGATGTCTATGGGAAGCAAGAAAGCAATAATAGATATTCAGCTGTAGACTTCAACAATTGATAGTGAGAATTATATGGCTTCTGATGCTGTAATTAATATCTAGTCATCAGAAATCATGATAACTTTATCCTTCATGAATGTCTGATCTTTTAAAGATATGAGTACATTTTTGGTAATAAATTCCCTATTAAAGCAATGAGTGAAAAAAAAAAACTTCCTTTTATTTGCCCATAAATCTCCCACTATTAAGGATCGTTATATAGCTCCAGGTTATAGTATTGAGACAAACAGATTCTTTTCTGGTTTTTTTCCATATATGTGTAATTTTGTAAGGCAAAAGGGTCCAGGTGTTGTAACCTGTAGACCTAGGGGAATTTCTTCACTCACTTTGTTCATGTTGGTTTTCATTTTGGATAATCTAACTCTGTTATAATCTTGTTTTACATTTGTCCCAAATTCTTTACAGATATTCCAAGTTTAGTTGCACTGTAGCTCTGTATAAATGCAGAGTGATATTGACTGCAGTATTTCATTTTTTCCCTGTAATAATTCCAATAATGGTTTTGGTGGAGATATTTTAGACTGAGCTGCACTTTAGATTTTTTAAAAAAAAAATTTTATTAAAAGCTTTACAAAGCACTTTAAACTACACAAACTAATAAAAGAGTAGAAGCAGGAAAGAAAAGTAAAAAATGGGAAAGGAAGAAAAGCAAAGGGAATCAATTTTTTGCAGGAAATATGTGTACAACCGTGTAATATATAAGTATTCTTTTCTGTTATCCAGTCATCAAAACCCCAAAGTATAAGTGCATTTTCTTTCCAATTCATGCAAAAAAATCTAGAAGGGGTTTCCAGTCAGTCATAAATCTAGGTATTATTATTTTTTCTTTGATTAAAGAAGCTACTTTAGCCATCTCCACAAATTCCATCATCTTCACCAACTATTCCTCTGTTGTAGGTAGTTCTGAATCTTTCCATTTTTGACCATATAAGTCTCACTACAGTGGTCATACATAAAAAGGTCCATAACTTTTTTTCTAGTTGCTTGTCCATTAGTTCCAAAGGAAAAGTTTCTGGTTTCAGTTGCACTTTAACTTTTAAAATTGTGTTGCACATTACATTGACCGTTCTATCCATACCCTTACTACTACCACATATTCTCTTACCTGGTAATCATCACCAACTCAGACACCTTTGGGCTATATGGGAAAGTTCTTGAGGTTTTTTTTATTTCTTTGTTTTTTGTTGTTGTTGTTGCCCTATCTTGCTTACACAGAGTTGCCATTCCTATTTTAATGCTTATTCCCTAGTTTCAACACATAACTTTGAAGCTACATTTTTTGACTGAATCCCTTTAAACCGATGGGTTCCATTAGATTTACCCTTATTGCTTATACTTCGCTTCCAGTTATTTATGTCTATATTAGAAAAGACTGCTGCAAACACCAGGAAAACAATATTTAATTCCTGGTATTCTCTGAGTTTTAGGAATTTAACCCATGACATTGAAAGAGCATGTTTTGATAAATCACCAGTTATATCCTGGAAGCCATGGTCTATTCAATGGGAAATTCAGCTTTAATAGAAGAGCCATTGCTTCTAGTGTTTATAGTACTACTTTGTTAAAAATAAAGAAGTGCAAAGTTGTTATTTCTATCTATGAAGTTTCAATCTGTTCAAACTATTGATTTACAACACACTCGCCAGTAGTATTTCTGCAGAGTTTGACTGTAGTGAAACAGTGCTTTCTTTTCCGATCCTTTATTGCATCATTTTGTCACTAAACTTCCAGGTGTCAAAACACAACAGTCAGTTATAAATACAAGAAATAAAACATTAGAATTGGGATAGTATATAATAATAATAAAATCATACATCAGCAGGTTATTAATGGAGAAAATAGCGGAAGGGGGAATAGAAGCATCCTTATCACTGTTTGAGGTTGTGCAACTGTTAAAATAGCTTGTCCACCTGGGAGAGGGTAAGACAGGCATAATCTATCATCTCCCTTCCCATCAATCCTATAACCTGATATGCTGTCCTCAAATGAGGCAGTTCCTTTTATCTATGAAGATCTGCCTACAAAACAAAAGCGAGAATTTATAACGCAGATCAGCACATTTCATCATTTAGAACTAGGTTCAACCAGGATGGGGTTTCCTCCTGTGTGATCACCTCATTTCAAAAAAAAAAAATCCTTTTTGTTCTCTCTGTAGCTCAGTAAATATATGAGCTGGCTATTTGCATTTTACCAGTTTTGCTACAAATTCAATTCCTAAACAAATGTCATAGCTGTCATAGTCTTTCTCTGTTCATTGCATCTTTCTGAAAGTAAGCTGGGAGATTATATTTCCTGTTTCAATATTTTATTATTTGTTCCAGAAACTAGGCCCTAAGAATTTATTTGAATATCAAAATCAAGAATGGCTAGGTTAGAATAACTTCATGTTTTTCACATTGAATCAGCTTCATTTCATATGAAATTTAGGAGGAGGAATTCACCCCCAATAAACAAATAACAAACACTCAAGTAAATACATTGCTTAAAACTTACTTCAACAGTGGTCCATGGACCACCTCCTCTTCATCCTTCTACTAGAAGTACCAATTGCCTAGAACCACTAGAAGTGTTCTGATATTGTTATGGGAAAATGGTTATTACAGTATTTCTCATGAGAGAGATTGGAACTGAAGTCTTGTGTTGCTCTCAAAAAAATGAAAAACAAAAACCTTCCTCGTAAGGAATGAAACTGGCAAGGCAGGAACTAAAGGTTTCCAGAGAAGACCAGGATTTCAGCTAAGATCAAGAGTTTTTCAAGGTCCTAAAGAGATCATCCAAATATCAGTTGGCATGAAAATGTAGAGTTAAAAAGCCTAAAATTGAAACTCTGGAACACAAGCCTGCGTATTAAGCATTGCCTTCTGTATTCTACAGTGTGCATATGGTTTTATTATTGTCAGCATTACAGAATCAGTTTTGCCAGGCAATTTCTTATGAGAAAATAAGTGTCTGGAGAACCCAGATTCACAACTGTGTTCTTGCCCAGTGTTCACTTTGTCCTTACAAGGACCATGCAAGAAAAATCCATGTTATTTTTATTGTTCAAATGGGAAACCAAATTCACCAAGTATATGAGAGACAAAAACACAACACCTGAACTACCTGAAATTAGTATAGTGCATTGTTGAGGTGGGAAAACAGAACTGAAATTTCAGCAGTGGGCATTATCTGTTGTCCTAACTATCTTCTTCAAGAAATAGTGTCTAAAAGTAAACCCATACCTTTATTCCAGAACATATTACACCCGTACAAAATGTTCCTAGCGGGTTGATTTGTTTACCAAAACTTATGTAGCTCAGTCAAAGGTGTGAAATAAACAGCTCTCCAACTGATAACTGTAATTCCTTCAGAAGTCGTAGTTCTGAAGAAGTTCCTTCATAGCTGTGATTGCCTTCAGAAGTTGTGGGTGTTTCATCCCTGGAAGCCTTTAAGAAGAGACTGGACGTCCACTTGTCTGATATGGTATAGATACAGGGTCTCCTGATTAAGCAGAGGGTTGGACTAGAAGTCCTCCAAGGTCCCTTCCAATGCTATTCTGATTCTGTGTCTGCACCAGTTCTTAGTGATCAGGAACCTAACTGTGAGAAGTTATAGTGACAAGGTAGCAGGTTTACCTTATATACCTGCAGTCACAAGCAAGCTGTACACACTTCCCAATTCTTGCTGATCCAAAGTTTACTGTGATCGTTCAGAAATATAATTTGTATTATAGGGCTTCTTTTGTTTCTGTTCTCTTTTTAGTCTCTTCCCCCACAGTTGGCAAGCCCTACAAATGCAACTATTGTGGTCGCAGCTACAAGCAGCAAAGCACGTTGGAAGAGCACAAGGAACGCTGTCACAACTACCTGCAAAGTCTTAACACTGAACCACAGTTGCTGGCTGGCCAGCAAGGTAAGCCTGCTGCTAGACTGGAACAGAGACAAACCTAAGGAGAATGTCGTTGGTTATTATCTACGAAGGATTCTCTACATTTGAAAAATTTTGCCAATGTTAAAAAAACTGGGAGGATCATTGAGGATGGCACAGGCTACCTATAGAGACCAGCTCTATAGCTCATATCTTCCCACACTGAGCTTTCCCTAGTGGGTTGAGCTATTGCTGCTCCTATGCCCAGGTAGCATAGCTATCTGTACAGATCACTGAAAATGATTGCTAAACAAGGCAGTCCCTAAACGAGGACTACTTGTATGTTGATTGTGAATTTTGAAATTTGGAACTCTTATCACATCTGTAAACTATCAGTGTGAAAATAACTGGTCCCAGTTGACACAAAACCCCTTTCCCCAAATCCAGTTGCTGCAGCTTCATTAATATTTTTTATGTCAGGACTAAGATTCTCATTTCTAGGAGAGATGGAAACCAGCTTTAGTGGCCAAACATGCAGGATGGGAGACAGGAGAGATGCTAGTACATAAATACTGTGAAGCAGGAGAACAGAAGCTAAATGGGATAATCACAGACATAGACAGCAGGCTCTAATAGGATTGATTCAAGTTAGCACTGGCTGCCAGTTGTAACCTTACGTGTTTTGCTGTGATATTTTTTCCTCCAATAAATCAGTTATCAATATCATTCATGCATGGCCTTCATAATCTTGCACAGACACTTTAAAAAAGAAATATAGGGTAGAATTAATTTGGACAACCAAAAATGAAAGCCAATTTTATAACCAGGTGACGAGATGCGAGACTTGGAGATGGTGCCGGACTCCATGCTTCATTCCTCAGCAGATCGGCCAGCCTTTATTGACCGACTAGCAAACAGCATCACCAAACGAAAACGCTCCACACCTCAGAAATTTATAGGTAAGGTCCATTCATGCATTTCTGGAAAAAGAGCTGGTCTTCTTGTGAGCCAAGAGTTGTTGGATTACAGTACAGGATGTCTTGGGTGCTTCTCCCTGGACTAAAGAAGTCCCATCTGTAGCGTTGGTTTCCATCAGCATTATTGGTCCTACTCTCATCATAGGCTTACCATCTGATATTAGAAGGAATTTGTAATCTGATCTCTTTTATCCTATGCATTAGGAGAGAAGCAGATGCGGTATAGCCTCTCCGATATGGCATATGATGTCAACTCCAGCTTTGAGAAGGACGTGGAAATGGTGGCTGCCCACCATCCCATGGACGCTACCTTTGGCAGTTCATTGTCATTCATGGGAGCAGAACATTTGCGCCCCCTCAGACTCCCACCCACAAACTGCATCTCTGAGATCACACCTGTCATCAGCTCTGTCTACACTCAAATCCAGCCCCTCCCAGGCAGGTTGGAAATTGCAAGTAGTCGGGAAGCTGCCGAAGGCCACGAGGACCTTTCTGATGGGACACAGATTGTGTATCGGGCGTCACGGGAGCCAAGTATGGTATCACCTAGCAATGGTTGCCAGGATTCCACAGACACTGAGAGCATCCATGAGGAGAGGGGCTCACAGCAGCCGCTGCTATCCAGCATTGGGAATTGCAGCAGCAGCCGGCAGAGTCCAGCCTACGCCAAAGAGGACCCCAAATTGCAGGAGGGCATCATTCCCACCACTACTCGGTCAACTCCCAGTTCAGCCAAAGAAGCCCTGCGTGTGGTGAATGATGAAGGGGAACAGGTAAAAGCCTTCAAATGTGAGCACTGCCGGATCTTATTCCTGGACCACGTCATGTTCACCATCCATATGGGCTGCCATGGCTTCAGAGACCCTTTTGAATGCAACATCTGTGGCTATCACAGCCAAGACCGGTACGAGTTCTCTTCCCACATAGTGCGAGGGGAACATAAAGTAGGCTAATCTTACTCTGTCCCCTTATTCATCTCTCCCCATCACTAGTGCTCTATCTTAGTTGGGCATGGAACTGTTCATTTCTTTTGTACTCCTTTGCACTGACTTTGGCTAAAAAAGAGAAATGTTTTTTTTTTAAAGAAAAGAATCCTAAGTTTTAAAAAAATCCAATGAACTTGAGACGGGGAGGAGCTCATAACATTTTGCCTTTCTCTATGGTGTGTTATTTAAAAGTTAATAATTAATTTTAAAATCCGTGTTTTTCTCTCACACTAGTGGTTATTTATTAACTTCCTTCCTTCCTTCCTTCCTTCCTTCCTTCCTTCCTTCCTTCCTTCGTATAGATTTTTCATTCATTTCACCAGGAATGTCCTCTTTTGAGGAACAAGTAAAGGCTGGCACATAGCCCAGCAGCAAGCTTGACTCTCTAAGGTTAAGGTCTCTTCCATTTGGACATTTTTTTTGTTTCAGTTCCCATATTTCTTTTAAGCCACCATGTTAGGTATTAAGAACCTCAGATCAGGTGCTAAACACATTATAGAGCTTCCCCCCTTTTCAAGGGGCTAGGAAAGCCACGGCCTGAGCTATATTACTGTTCAAATGAACCGTATAATATCTTCTTTTTATGAGTGGCTGTGAAATGGAGCGTATGAAGGTGTCATGCTAGGAATGCTGTGGTCCCAAGAATTTAATACCTCTGTGCATCTACTTAACACAGCTTTGAACTGACTTGTATTATTTCCTCTATCGGGGCCCAAAAGGGATAGTGAATTTTGCATCGGGTGTTGATGAAGGAGCTATGGTGTTTCAAGGAAGATGATGGGCACTTTGTATAGGAAGAATGCTGCCTTTCCATATTGAACCGAGAACCAGCATTGGGAAAACAAATGCTGCTTCCAGGATGCAATGAAGGAACCCTAACATTATCTGGTTAAAATCGGTGATGCTTCTAAAGAGTCTGGGATGTCCTGTCTTCTCTCCAGATAGGTTGTCTGAGCTAATTTTCTTTGAGCTTCCGTGGTTAGCACTTAGCGGATAATGGTTGCTAAAGACTGTAGAATCAGGGTAGGCAAAATGTAGCTTTTACGACTCCCATCATGTCTTAGTACCCTCTGAGCAGGCTAGGATTAATGGGAGTTGGAGTGCAGCAACATTTGGAGCCCATCTAACCTTTGGAAGAGGTAAGCCTCCTAGATGAGTGCAGGTCTTTTAACTTTTCTCTCCCAATATGCAGGTTCTTTAGACAGCATTAAGGAGCTTGGCTTTGCTGAGTAGGAATTGATTTGTAAGGTGGATATCTTTTCATTGGGAGGTAAGACTAGATTGCGAGAGTCAGCTTAGGAATTTCTTAACATCTACTAGAGCCAAAGGAATGAGGAGTAAACTGCCAGTATCTCTGTTCCAGTGCCTAACTCACACCTCCTTGTTCAGATTCCCAGCATCATGATTTCTGAACAGCTTGGTATTGGACTTAGTTTCCCCGTCAGTTTAGCTTTCCTTGTTTGTGTCGATCCGTTACGAGCCTTATGGATCCAGAAAGCATGAGCAAGATCTGAAAGTGGCAGCCGTGAGGGCGAGAGTTCTCTCTATTTATGGAATACATCACACTGCCCATCCCAAACTAAGGGGATGTAAGCTCTGCAGGGAGAGTTTCCGTTTTCTTACGCAGGAATCTTTTCTCCAGATCAGTGGCAACCACTTTTCTAAGCTGATTTTGCTGAAAAGGCAAAAGAAATGCAGCAAGATTTCCATAGTGACAAGATTTCCATCTGTTCACAGGTACATGGTCCAGGGTATCAGAGAGGATCATTAGATTTCTGCAGCAAGGGCCCTACAAGGACACATGTGTACTTTAGTGTCTTAAAAACTTTGATCATCATCAAGGGCAAAAAAAAACCCCTCTCCATTCTATAATTGGTTGCAGATTGCTGCTGATAATAGGCTGTAGGCAAGAGATAAAACACCACTTGTCGGTATTAGGCAGTCATCCCACCTCCCCAGCCTGAGTGGAAATCTTGTTGATAATTGTTTTTTAAGAGGGCAATCACCAAATTAGAAGGGTTATGTGCTGAGCCAATAAAACTTGAAGCTTGCCTTTTTCCGGAGCTTGCTCTGTCTTTATCTGTTGGAAACATCTCATCTGACGGAAAGGGGTATGTGATTAAAATAGTCTCTCTAGTCTTAGCTGGGCAATGGATGTGACAAGAAGGGGAGTGCTTTTGGTTTAGATAAATCCCTTAATGCATTTACTCAGCAGCAGCCCAGGGAATTGCTTCCTTGCAGGATAAACCAAAGGCGGTTCTTTTTCTACTTAAAAAGCAAACCTCAAGCTGCAGTGTTTTGTTCATTTTCCTTCTTTATTGCTTTTTGTAATGTGAAATACAGAGCTGCGCTTTTAAAAAAAAAATTAAAAAAAAAAAACAGGCCCAGCCAGTTTGACTAACTGGAAAGGCTGATTGAATGAGATATTTTGAGGAATTGGCCAAGGAGATGGGAGTGGAACTTTTCTTTACATACAGTAACCTGATTCCACTGTTCTGTCATATTTAAAAATGTTGACTTTTTGTGGTACAAGATCACTTTCCCCCTTCAGCTTTCTCTTTCTCACATTCAGCATAGGAATGGCATCTTAGAGGCTTGGGTGGCATTTTGAGCTGGTCCCAGCAATGTCTGTTTTAGCTTCAGCAGCAGAAGTGAACTAATACATACTTTTTGTCATTCTGATTATATTGTGTGCAATACAAATAAAACATGCTGAGGGACTTTGCCAAATTGTTAGGGAGTTTGAAAGTCCAGTTCTTATGGGGGTATTTTTCCTATTAGAATGATACTTTTGGCTCCTTTAGTTCTACTGGCCCTAAGGTCAAGGATTTTTTTTCTCCCGTTGATGTACTCATGTCTTCTATTGATGTACATTTAAAGTAATTCAACATTTTTTTGTGATTGTTAATCTAAATAGTTATTTCATGTGACATAGTTTTTCCCTGTAATAATCTCCATGATTTCAATACTCATTAGAGTGTTTTGTGTGAATGAAATCCTAGAGGGTATTATGGGAGCTCTCCTTTGAGTGGGAAAAGTCACAAGAACCAGCTTTTACACCTTTTGTAATTTGTCTTGCTCTAAAGGATGAGATCCCTTCACCACTTACTTTAAAACTATGAAGATTTCTTTTAATTTAACACAGTTTGATAAGATTATAATTGCATTGAATTCAGATGTTACTCATAGTGTTTGGGCTGTGCTCCAAAATACCAGAGAGAACATATCTTTAGGTTTTTTTTTCATTATTACTGTTAAAACATCCTGGGAAACCTTATGAAAAAGTTATGTAAAAGCAAAACATTGGACATCAAAGGCATATTTATTGCATATAGTAAAACTTCTAAGCTGATTTCCAATATTCTCAACAACCCACCCTTCCTGCATTTGTTGCCCATTTTGTGAGTAAGGAGATGTGTGGGTGTGGATGTCATACACACACACACACACACACACACACACCACATACACATTTGCACCTCTCAGAACAAGTTGTCCAAATATTTGTCCTTGGGAAAGAATTGAGCTACTCAAATAATTGTCTAAGAATTTTAGATTCCTCTGCTGATAACTTTCTCCCTAAAAAAATAGTTCTGACAGTACAATATAGTCTGTTCATGTATCTGTGCATCTGAACAAAATTCAGATGTTTATCACTCAGGCGTTCAGTGTCACAATGGAAGTAGATCTCTGAAAATAAGGGAAGGTGCAAATAGGCCTATATAATAATAGAAATGAGAGCAATCCCTAATCTCAGTTGTGTGCATGTTTCTTTTCCCATGTGAATCTAGATCTAAATAGGGCATGTATAGTAACTCCCGAGTTATATAGATAGCATTTATCCCTTGTGGGATCAGACAAATAGCACTTCTCTCTAGGTACTTGAAATTCCTGTGCTTCTGTTATGATGTATAAACTCCAAAGGACTAGGGTAAAATCCATTTACTTTAGCTGGAGAGCATTATATTGTCTCTAATGAAAAGCAAACATACATACATGAATTAGTAGTTACAAAGTTCTATAACCAAATTCCAAAAATATCCAGTTCTGCAGAGAATGGATGTGTAATCAATATTTTAAGCAAAACTGGAAATCAAACAGCAAAATTTATGTTTGTTTTCTTTCCACATACTGAACTGAATGCACTGTATGAAGCAAGATAAATACAGATAGAAAATTAAATTTGGGTTAAAGATACCAGGAGTGTGACTTTTGTTGAGATGTCTCCTTGGTGTTTGAACTTTATTATCATTGCCCTGATACGTTCCATGTGAGATGTGAATTACCTCTAGTTTTAATAGACAAAATTACAGAAATATATCTCTGTTCCCCCAATGCAGACTCAGATTTCTGTCAAAGCAATGTAAAACATATTGAACAGCTGACCAGATATTCTTTCCATCTAAATATATTAGTCAAGAGGAGGAACCATTTATTGGCTTCTTGGAAGATGGCATTGGGAAGAATATACACTTATGAAGTTTTCTTTATTTATATATTTGTTCCTGAAATAGGTATGAAACTTTGACAAGAAAGACAGAAAAGCTTAGATAGTTGGAAACTGACTTCTTGAAAGCCAAAGATGGCCCTTGGGTGCTTGGCCTGACTTCATTGCCACACTGATAAAGCACCTAAAGTGTCATTTTTACTGGGTTTTTTTTAAAAAAACTATCCTTTGTGCCTCCATACAAAGTCCACATTCAGAATTGCTCTGCTTCCCATTTCTGGTGGGAATTGGACCACTCTATGCAGGAGCCAATTATTTTTGTTTAAGGGGAAATATTCAGACAGTTCTTGATCTAAATGAAGATGTCCAGAAGATCATTTGTGAACTCTTGTCTACTGCACTGTGGAATGGTACTAATCTCTCTCTGCCCTCCTTCAGGGAACAAGAATCCTGCTTCGGACTTTACATATTACCTCCTGCTTGCCCCCTTTTGTGAAAATGAAAACAGGTTTGTTTTTAGGGAAACAAAGCTCTGACATTTCTAATAAATCAGTGTTCCTTTTTATTTTTTGCTTTCACCTGTATGAAGAGCCTAAAAAACAAATGTAGGAATTTTGTAAAACTCCAGGTCTCTTTAACTT